CTGGATACGGATGTCAGACAGCATTATTGCGAGTCAATGAGGATTGGAAAATGTCACTTGACCAGAACAAGTATGTAGGCTGCATACTTGTGTGTAACCCATGTAACCCTGTACCCCATGTGTACTAGGTTCACTGCACTAACACATCATCTTTCACGTGCCTAACATTGTCATTCTTACATAAGTAAATACATGTCAGTATGTACGTGCGTGCGTATGATTGGTTGAATGAGGTGGGTTGTATAAACGGAATGCACGGGCAGACCGGAGTCCTGTCACGTCCAAACCCAACTCTCTCCAGCCATTCCTCTCCAGGACTCGTAGGAGTCAAACATCCATCCGTATCAGCCCTGGTAAGTCTGTCTGTAATGTTTACATTGTCATTGTACGTTTGTAATTTACCGTCTTGTATGCTCGCGGCTTTGTATTCATGTCGATGTATGTAAGTTCAGGTCAATGTGTTATCAAATGTATTTATTGTATTTGTTTGTTAATATTCGTGTTTTTCCTGCCTCACAACCTCCTTCTTCTAAAACTTCAAAATTATGGACTTTCTATTTCGGCTTCAGACCTATTGTCAAATTACCTCAAAAACAGAAAACAAAATGTCAAATTAGGAAATTAGGAAAGAACTTTTCAGGAACTATACAAAGGAGTCCCTCAGGGATCAATTTTAGGGTTAGGGCCCAATTCTGTTAAAAATATTATAAACGACATTTTCCACTTCATACAGCACTGTAAATTTAACAACTACGCTGATGACAATACTATTAGTAAAGCACACACTTCACACAAAAAATGGGAAAAAATTCCAAGAAAGGGCTCTAAAATGTATTTTCGGTGAACACGAAAATACATATGAAATGTACTAGCCCGTTCAAAATTACCATCACTCAAAATCAGACGACTCAGAAATTTTGCAACACAAGTATTTAAAATCACAAATCAACAAACACCAACATACCTACATGCCCTAATCAACATTACAGAAAAATCAAACACATTCAGATATCACAACACAGCAGATATAACACATGTTAGGACTACAAAGAATGGTAAACACTCATTTCGATCTGAAGCACCTAAATTTGGAATGCCCTACCAGACCACTTCAGAACAACTACACTATCACAATTTAAGACATTAATAACCAGCTGGTATGGGCCAAAATGCAAACGCAACACATGCAGACAAAACGCATAGGCTCACAATACAGTGTTATACAACATGTTTTTAGCTAAAGCTTACCTCTACTTATGTCACCTCTCTATTAGATAGTGCTCATCTTTTAATATGTTTGCTAAATATTTATTGTACAACTTTGCATGTCTTTTATGTGTCGGTTTTAATAGCTCATTAGAGCTAATGTTGTATTGTTTTTGAACATACCGACGTTAAATAAAACTTTTGATTTGATTTGATTTACAACCACCAAGTAAGCGAGTGCTTACCTTGCTATACAGTGTCATACTTACGATTTAGGGAGTTCTAATTTTGTCTCCGATTTCTTTTCATGCCACCTGATGTCTTGCTTTATATCTCATCTGTAGCAACTTAGAGGGCAGATGTTTAGCTTGAGGATTTACACTGTAGTTAATCTTTTGTATGTCAAATAACAGTTACAAAAGCAGGTTGTGATAATTGAACAACTGTATTTCCTCCTAACAACCAGGTGAGCAAGGCCTTACCTTGCTATACAGTCATACGTCATGTACGTAGATACTGTGTCGGTATATAAATAGGTTACACGAGTGATACTACAAAAAATTAAGTCTTGTAGGTAACCCAGCTATTTCACACAAGATAACACTCTTCTAAAGTAACATATTGTAAGTTGTCCATGTTATTTGCACTTAATTCTGTTGACTCCTCCTTATCGTTTGTAAATGTGTGGGACTTGTGTCTATTGAGGATCTTCAAAAAGTCATTCTAATAAAGTATTACCTTTAAGAAGCATCTCAAGAAGCGACTAGACGCTTACAGCGGTGCCACCTGCAATGAACCAAAATTACTTTTGCTAAAATATTATGCTTCAGGTGAATCCTTTCTCAAACAGGTCATTATCGTCATCCAGTTTACCTTTTCTACCATAGGTACTAGTATGAACTGATTGTGTTGGTTCAAAACTACAAAATAGCAAGAGGCCCAAGAGGGCCTGTATCGCTCAGTCATAGCAAAATATTCTCATTAAATATTATATTGCACTAAAATTATTCCCCTCGCAAACTTTGTTGGCTCCATCTGTTGAAACTACCAGCAAAATATTATTATAAGATTCTATGCTTTTTTATTCTTCTTCAGAAGTTGCTTGACATATTTTTTCCTGTGACCTCGTAAGTAGGTCAATGTCATTTTCCTTCTCAAATTCGTTAGCTCTATTCCAAAAAGCTACCAGCCAAATCTAATGATTCCATTTCTTTTAATTCTTAAGAACAAATCCTTTAAAATGTTGTTGACCTATGTGACCTCTAAAGTAGGTTGAGGTCATTTTCATTCGCAAACTTTGGTGTGCTCTATCCCAGGAAGTCACCAGCCAAATTCTATAAAATTTATCAGAAGTAGTTTGAACCGTTTGTCATATTTGAACGCTGTGACCTTCAAAGTAAGATCAAGTTCATTTTCATTCTCAAACTTTGTTGGGCTCTTTCCTAGGAAGCTTCAAGTTAAATAATAAGGTTCTATACCTTCCAGTTCTTCAGAAGAAGTCGTTTGAAGTGTTTGACATATCTGCCTCATGTGACCTTAATGGAAGGTCAAGGTCATTTTCATTCTTAAACTTTGCTGGGCTCTTTCTCATGAAGTCACCAGCCAAATATTTAGGTTTTATAACTCTCAGTTCTTCAGAAGAAGTCGTTTAAGCATTAGACATATCTGACTCCTGTGACCTTGAAAGTAAGTCAAGGTCATTTTCGTTTTCAAACTTTGTCAGGCTCTCTCCCAGGAAGCCACCAGCCAAATATAAATATTCTATACCTTTCAGTTCTTCAAAAGAAGTTGTTCTAAGCGTTAGACATATCTGACTCCTGTGACCTTGAAAGTAGGTCAAGGTCATTTTCATTCTCAAACTTTGTTGGGCTCTTTCCCAAGAAGCTACAAGCCAAATATTAAGGTTCTCTACCTTCCAGTTCTTCAGAAGAAGTCGTTTGAAGTGTTTGACACATTTGACCACTGTGACATTGAAAGTAGGTCAAGGTCATTTTAGTTCTCGAACTTTGTCGGGCTCCTACCAACAAAGCTTTCAGCCAAATATCATGACTCTAGTCCTGTCCATTCTTCAGAAGCAGTTGTTTAAAGGAAAAGTTGTCGGACGACGGACGCCGCACCATGACATAAGCCCACTTGCCATTCGGGCAGGTGAGCTAAAAACGGTTTAGTGTTACAGAAAATTTAGGTGAGTATGTTTTATTGGTAACAAAATACAATAATATTAACAGTTGCTTAAAAAGCACTTCTGGCATTTAACTACTTCTAAACCAGAGTTTTCATTGTAATTCAAGGGAAAATATATCAATTTGATATTGCAAAATATTTTAGTCGGTCAACGTCATTCATATGAACAAACTTGGTATCCCTTTATCCCAGCATGCTACAGGCCATATATCATAACCCTATGTCTGTTGGTTATTGAGAAAACGTTGTTCAAAGATTTTAACAAAATTGACCCCTGTGACCTTGAAAGTCGGTCAAGGTCAATTTTATTCGCAAACTTTGTTTGGCTAATTCAAAGGAAGCCACCGGTTAAATACAATGTCACTAGGCATTTCAGTATTTCAGAAGAAGTTGTTTGAAGGTTTTGAGATATTTGACCTCTATGACCTTTTAAGTACGTCAAGGTCATTTGTATTCGCAATCTTTGTTTGGCTTTTACCAAGGAAGCTACCAGGTAATTTTCATATCTCTAGGCTTTTCTGTATTTCAGAAGAGAAGTTGTTTGAAAATTCTGCCATATTTCACCCCTGTGACTTTGAAAGTAGGTCAAGGCCATTTTTATTCGCAAACTTTGTTCGGCTTATTCCATGGAAGCTACCTACCAATTGTCATGTCTCTAAACCTTTCGGTATTTCAGAAGAAGTTGTTTGAAGGTTTTTAAATATTTGACCCCTGTGAGCTTGAAGGTAGGTCAAGGTCATTCATATGAACAAACTTGGTACCCCTTTATCCCAGCATGCTATTGGCCATATATCTTCACCCTATGTCTGTTTGTTATTGAGAAAAAGTTGTTCAAAGATTCTAACACATTTGATCCCTGTGACCTTGAAAGTCGGTCAAGGTCATTTTTATTCGCAAACTTTGTTTGGCTAATTCCAAGGAAGCCACCAGTTAAATACAATGTCAATAGGCATTTCAGTATTTCAGAAGAAGTTGTTTGAAGGTTTTGAGATATTTGACCTTTATGACCTTTTAAGTACGTCAAGGTCATTTGTATTCGCAATCTTTGTTTGGCTTTTACCAAGGAAGCTACCAGGTAATTCTCATATCTCTAGGCTTTTCTGTATTTCAGAAGATAGGTTGTTTGAAAATTCTGACATATTTCACCCGTGACTTTGAAAGTAGGTCAAGGCCATTTTTATTCGCAAACTTTGTTCGGCTTATTCCATGGAAGCTACCTACAAATTGTCATGTCTCTAAACCTTTCGGTATTTCAGAAGAAATTGTTTTAAGGTTTTTACATATTTGACCCATGTGACCTTGAAAGTAGGTCAAATTCTGTTTTTTTCGCAAACTTTGTCAGGCTCCATATAAGGAAGCTACTAGCCAAATATCATGACTCTATGCCTTCTGGTTCTTCAGAAGAAGTCGTTTAAAGGAAAGTTGACGGACGCAGGACAGACGCCGAACGCCGCACCATGGCATACGTTCAGCTGCCCTTCGGGCAGGTGAGCTAAAAATGTTTTTCATTGGAACTATTCTTCACAATTATAACTTGTATCCTCTTCATCTTGATACATTTTAAATATTTGCCATTTTGGTAAAAACAACAAGGCATTAACATATTCCAAAATCTTGAAACCATTTATTCGACAGTAACATTAAAAATCAACATAAATAAAACAGATTAAAACAAACAACAAAACAACAGTCATGCAAATCAAATATACAAAGCACAGACAACATTGAGAGACAATGACATAGAGATTCTGTGATGTGGATAAAACCTACTAAATAGCCTACTAAATAGTGCAACTTTAACCCTGTGATGTGGATAAACCCTACTAAATAGCCTACTAAATAGTGCAACTTTAACTCTACGATGTGGATAAAACCTACTAAATAGCCAACTAACTAGTGCAACTTTAACCCTGTGATGTGGATAAAACCCACTAAATAGCCTACTAAATAGTGCAACTTTAACTCTACGATGTGGATAAAACCTACTAAATAGCCAACTAAATAGTGCAACTTTAACCCTGTGATGTGGATAAAACCTGCTAAATAGCCTACTAAATAGTGCAACTTTAACTCTACGATGTGGATAAAACCTACTAAATAGCCTACCAAATAGAGCAACTTTAACACTGATGTGGATAAAACCTACTAAATAGCCTACCAAATAGTGCAACTTTAAAACTGATGTGGATAAAACCTACTAAATAGCCTACTAAATAGTGCCACTTTAACCCTGTGATGTGGATAAAACCTACTAAATAGAGCAACTTTAACACTGTGATGTGGATAAAACCTACTAAATAGCCTACCAAATAGTGCAACTTTAACACTGATGTGGATAAAACCTACTAAATAGCCTACTAAATAGTGCAACTTTAACCCTGAAGCCTTCACCACACATACCTAACATTTAGACTTTATCCCAAATCTAATAAGGTTCAGATCCCAACACCTAGTACATTTGGCCTTCATGTTCTACTGATTTTTAAGCAGTATAATAAATGCACTTTGGCCTTCATGATAGTTTCTTTTAGTAGTCTCATTAAGTACTGTTAACTAAAGCAACATTATTACGTTTTCTTTGTTATGAAGTACTCATTAGCAAGGCAATCGTAATGCATTTTAATGTACCTAAAAATTATATCTCCTTGTGTTGCAAGCTGTACCAAAGCTATGTTCAATCTATGCCTGGATTCAGGACAGGAGTTTAAAAATTATGATTTACCTGAATTTTAATGTTAGCAGCAAATACTTGCTTTAACTACCATATGTAAGCTTTTAGTTAAACAAAGGACCTGAATGAAATTTCTAATGTGCAAAATCTGTTAAACAAACAAAATTTGCTTCTAGACAGCTACTTTTAATGGGCTCACCAAGTACATTTTTTTTATTTTTTCATTATTCTGGTAAAAATGTTTGAATATAAATTATTCAAACACTTATGGAGATATCTTCGATATTCAAAAATCTTCCATATTCAAAAAAACAAAGGTAAGGCTTTCAGATTCTTCAAAATACATGATTTACATACAATTCACCACATTTGATAACAAATTCACAATATGATATTGATCATACCATTACACAGACAGAACTTTTGTCATACTTTGTCAACATACATAATTTCATTTAATTATGATTTTTCAAACATGAGGTTTTACCTAAAATACACATGGACAACAGTCAATGCATTATAATAATACTTTCATTTTACCCCGTATCATTCATGTCTCTCACACTCAGACCATGTTACAGATAATGACCATATAAATGGTATCTAATGTTGTCGATAAATATTACATAGTGAAACAGATACGACTGTTCATGACCATCTAATTAATAATGAGGACACCTCTGAGGGAGTTCACAAGCAAAATGATAGCAAGACAAATAAGCTATGGCAATTAATGACATTATGAACCTAATGTAGCTAGGACAGACAACGATACCGAGTATCTGATATTGTCTATACACATACCATGTTTTAACAGTACTAAGCCTATGTCAGGTAATAAGCCCATCCTACTTTCCTCACTGCCCATGCAGAGGGTAACAGCCTGGTTGTAGGCCGACCCACTTTTCTTGGAGAAGTGGAGTTTGAAAATTCTTGTCCATTTATCATGCCAACACACTTTACTTCCCATAAATACAGGGGCTATGAACCCCTACAGTTCTGAACTGACACAGCATTTAACACCTATAAGTGACCACAACCTCAAACGCCTGTAGCTAGGTGGCTAGCAACATCTGACCTTTCTAGTTAGAACGTTTACTTAGAACTACAGGACATTGATTTATTTTATTTTATTTGTTGATTTGCAACATATTTGAAGCTTTCTAAATTACCTCTTATCAATGAGATAAACTACACTACAGAAATACAATATACTCTGACAGAAATACAATATACTCCAACAGAAATACAATATAATCTGACAGAAATACATTACACACTAACAGAAATACATTACACTCTAACAGAAATACATTACACACTAACAGAAATACATCACACTCTAACAGAGAAAGTACACTACAGTGTGCCCTTACTGATGTCAAGCCCAAGTACAATGTAGGCAGGACTTGTGACTTCCATGAAAAGACTTGTGTATTCAATTTCTGCGAGATGCTTTTTCATTTGATAGTTTTAATGTTGGTTGGACATCAGCCAGAGGAGATGTAAGAAGAGGTTGAGATGTGAGCACTGTCCATGGCAAGAAACGCCCTACTCATTGTTAAAGATCTCACACTACATACAGTGTAACATACTGATAGGCTAACAGTCACAACCTCACAAAACTGACAGAAATGTAACACCACAAACGTATCAGGCAGTGGTCACCACAAACCTGACAGAAATGTAACACCACAAACGTATCAGGTCACCCCCTCTAGTACCAAGTACTGATCATAATAATGAACTAATTAACAAGATTATTTCATTTATATAATACAGACTTGAATGCTTTGCATACTTATCCAGTTATCACTCTGGCAATCATTTACAACAACTTCAGAACAACACAATGTTGAGACATGTAACTATATTACTTAACAGCAAAACCTTGTTAATATCTTTAGGAACAGTCAATAAAATAAACAGTAAAACACTCACTAAATTTACAGAACTAGAACTACAAGCATTGAGAGATCAAATAATAAACCCTTCAGCACTTCAGAAATCTGAACAAATGAAAATATCCATTCTCAACACTCTTCAAAACTTTCCCTATGGTCCAACCTCGCACTATGGTCCAGCTTACTCATCCTCTTATGTTACTGATAGTAGTTATCATGAAAAAAATGCTGTTCATCCTTACACTATTCATGACATACTGATATACAGGTGATAATAATGCAAAATTCTGATGGATGTCTAAATTCAGTACCGTATAGCAGGTTATTTACCGGGACATACAATGTTCGCGATACTGACCCAAAATTAGAAAATTAAATTTACATAGATTATAATTTTGCTATCTAGACATTTGAAGGAACTAAATTTAGCATCGTTTTAGCACAGAGACGGGACACTCGGCATGTAAAGTATCAAATAATCGAATGATTAGGCTTTATGATAGCATACAATTTAGTGAGCAACAAAAAGTACATTTAAGTGTATTTTGTTAAATAAATCATCACCAAATCTATTAAATGTGTGATATAATCTATTTTCACACATCATTACTATTTATCTATATGACTCGTCATATATAACCACGTGCACGCTTCTTTATGACAACATTATCGTTATGAAGTTAATTATTGCAGCTCATTTTTACACTTGTCTTTATGCAAACATGCTTCTGACCCACCAAATTGGGATAATATCCTACTATACATCAGTATATGGCATAAAGGACGTATAAATGTATTTACATTTCATAGGAAATATGTGGGTTTGATGTCACAGCCAAACTCAGTCAGATCTACAATCACTCTTAATATAATTGCATAGATACAGTTCATCTCCATCCTTTGGTGAAAATATTGCTTGTTTGTATTAGCATGTATATTTAATATCAATATACAGGTTTGAACAGAGTTATCTCTAAACATTTTCTTAATATAATTGCATAAATGTGATTCAGACATTCTTTGAGCTATAATATTAAGAGTTCCCTTGTGTTGTATTCAGACAACTCCCTAAAGCTATATTAAAGCAAATTCCAAAAGCTGTAAACCATGTGCCAAGAGCTACATTGTCAGAGAACTCCCTAAACCTTTCAGAGAACATCTAAGAGCCATATTTACGAATTTCTTCAGAGCTATATTCAGAGAACTCCCCAGATCTATATTCAGAGAACTCCCCAGAGCTATATTCAGAGAACTCCCCAGAGCTGTATTCAGAGGACTCCCCAGAGCTATATTCAGGCAACTCTCGAGTCATTTTTATGGACTTCCTAATGGAATTCCCCAGAGCTTATATTATGGGGACTCCTCGTTGCTGTAATCAGGGAACTTCCCCGAAGGGAATCTCCTACAGCTATATTTAGGGAATCTCCTACAGCTATATTTAGGAATCTCCTACAGCTATATTTAGGAATCTCCTACAGCTATATTTAGGAATCTCCTACAGCTATATTTAGGTAATCACCTACAGCTATTTATTTAGGGAATCTCCTACAGCAATATTTAGGAATCTCCTACAGCTATATTTAGGAATCTACTATATTTGGAAAATTCCTTCAATTTTTATTCAGGGAACTCACATAAATAAATTCATGGAACTTTTATCATTTATCACTAATACCAACAACATTCTCTCATTCAATGTGTTTGCTCTTACTCTTATACTGCAAGCCCCCCTCCCCTTCCCTCCCCCTCCCG